GGCAGTTTGGAACTTTAGGTGAGCTAAAGTGCCACTTGGCGAGTCACCGAGTGGCTTTGGCGATTCTCAGATTTTGTTATCTTCAACCTTTTTCATCTTTTTAGCTCCATTTTGCCCGATAATGTTCTTGTCTTAATTGCTGCAAATCAACACTTTAACATCAGTTTAGAGCATAAATTAGGTATTTGTGGACAATAAACTATGAAAACCAAGCCCTAAATGAGTCAAAATGTAGGACTCATCAATCATCATATTTATAATTCATGAATATTTCATCACTTCTTGGTATTATGATGTCACCCAAACTATACCATCAATTGGGATTAAAGGGTTGATATCAAAATACAATAATCCAATAAGGTTGGGTTGAATCCCACAAAAAGCATGGTTAGACAACTTATAATTTGTTAATGAAATTCAAACTAATGACTACCATTGGAGTTGGGGGTTTTAAATAGGAAATTATTAACTAATTTATACTATATGCAAAAAGCATGGTTAGACAACTTATAATTTGTTAATGACATTCAAACTAATGACTACCATTGGAGTTGGGGGTTTTAAATAGGAAACTATTAACTAATTTATACTATATGTGTTGTAAAACTTAAGAACAAACGAACAATATAAAGAGGAAGACAAGAGGAACAATATAAGATAACTTTCTTTTTTTCAAGTGTATTTAACATTATTCTCAACATCGCTATTTATAGGATTAGATTGAGGAGTACCAAAGGGTGTCACACACATTACATTAAACCATGAGGATTACTACCCATTAAGGAGGAAATAAACCTAGGAGTTATGGTCATCCATTTAACCATATTATCAACAACATTACTACCAATAAAGGATAAAATTAACTTAGGAGTTATGATCATCCATTTGACCACATTATCAACAACATTACTACTCATAAAGGAAGGAATTAACCAAGGAGTTATGGTCATCCATTTAACCACCAAAATGATTTACAACACTCCTCCTTGGATGACCATTGATAGATAATATGCCTCATTAAAACCTTACTAAGAAAAAACCACGTGGGGAAAAATCTTAGTGAAGGACAAAAGAGTACACATAACATGTAATACGCTTTGTTTGTTGCCTCGTTAAAAACCTTGCTAGAAAAATCCATTGGGATAAAACCTAGGCCAAGGGAAAAAGGGTGGAGCTCGTAGTTTGCTCCCCATGTTGCAAAAATCATTTAATTTCTTGGAGACGACGCATTCCAATCTTGGATACCAACTTTTCAAATGTTGAGGTTGGTAATGGTTTAGTGAACAGATTCGCTAAATTATCAACTGGGCAAATTTGTTGAACATTTATTTCACCTTTATTCTATAGATCATGAGTGAAAAGATTTTCGGTGAAATGTGTTTTGCTCTATCTCCTTTAATGTATCCTCCCTTCAGCTGAGCTATACATGCAACATTGTCTTCGTACAATGTAGTTGGAATATCTTTTTTCATAGGAAAACCACACATTTCTTGCATATGTTGAGTCAATGATCTCAACCAAACACACTCCTGACTTGCTTCATGGATAGTTATTATTTCTGCATGATTTGAAGAAGTAGCAGTTAATATTTGCTTCATTGAACGCAAAGATACTGTTGTGCCTTCATATGTAAATAAATAGTCTGTCTGAGCTTTATATGGGTCAGACAAATATCCAGCATTTGCATAACCAATCATTTCTGACTTGGATTTATTAGAATGAAATAATCACATATCAATGGTTCCCTAAAGATATCTGAATATATGTTTGACTCTATTCCAATGTCTCTTTGTTGGGGACAAGCTGAATCTTGCCAATAAACTTGCTGCAAAATAGATATCTAGTCGAGTATTATTGGCAAGATGCATTAGCCCCCTAATGGCACTAAGATATGGAGTTTCATCGCCAAAAAACTCTTCATCATTTTCCTGAGGTCAAAATGGATCTTCATGTATGTCAAGCGATCTCACAACCATCGGGGTACTCAATGAATGTGATTTATCCATGTACAATCGCTTTAAAATCTTTTCTGTGTATATTGATTGATGGACAAATATTCCATTTTTCAAATGCTCAATCTGTAGGCCAAGACAAAATTTTGTCTTATCAAGATCTTTCATTTCAAATTCTTTCGTTAGACATTCAATAGCTTTTGAAAGCTCTTTAGGAGTGCCAATGATATTTAAATCATCAACATACACAACTATTATAACAAAATCAAACACAAGGACAAATAGGGTCATTTTTGTACCCTTCCTTTAGCAAAAATTGGCCAAGACTTTTGTACCACATCCGCCCTGATTATTTCAATCCATACAAGGAATTCTGAAGCCTTATCGAACAAGTTTCTTGCGAATTTTTATATGCTTCAGGAACATTGTGAATGCTTCAGGAATTTTTATGAAAATATCATGGTCTAATAAGCCATATAAATAGGCTGTGAGAACATCCATTAGACGCATTTCAAGCATTTCATGAACTGCCATATTTATTAGATATCTAAAGGTAATTGCATCCACTATAGGAGAATATGTCTCCACATAATCAATCCCAGGCCTTTGCGAAAAACCTTGTGCCACAAGTCATGCTTTGTATTTTACGACTTCACCCTTTTCATTTCGTTTTCACACAAAAAACCATTTGTACCCCACTGGCTTGACACCTTCGGGTGTTCGGATTATTGGTCCAAAAAATTTACATTTTTCAAGTGAAGTCAATTCTGCTTGAATGCGTCCTTCCATTTTGGCCAATCATTTCTCTGTCTGCATTTATTGACAAATTTTGGTTCAAAATCCTCACCTTGTTGCATTATTTCAACAACGACATTATAAGTAAAAATATTGTCCACCACAATATTATTTCGATTACACCTTTTTCTCGTCGAGACATAACTTATTGAGATTTCTTCATTCTCAATATTTTCAGTTATTTGGACCTTCTCTGTGGTCTTATCATTTGTTATGTCTCGGAGCTTTTCTTGAGCAATTTTCTCTATGGTATGATCTTCATGATCATTTGTTCTTTTTATTTTTCGAGGATTTTTATACTTTTAACCAATTGTCCTACCACGTTTTAAACGTAGTTTAGACTCATTTGCTTTAGCAATTTGTCCTACCAGGACATCAACTCGAATTGAAACATTTGCAGCTAGAATATAAGATGTAGTAACCCTTGGAGGATTAGTAAATGCATCTGGCAGTTTGTTTGCAACATTTTGCAAATAAATTATCTTTTTAACCTCTTGCTCACATTGATTTGTTCGAGGATCTAAATGAGAATAAATGAGATAGGGATAATGAATTCCAATCTATCTTTTTTTCTAACTGCTTATGTTCTCCCCTTAATGTTGGGTATACTGATTCATCAAAATGACAATCAATAAATCTTGCCGTAAATAAATCTCCTGTCATAGGTTCCAAATATTTGATAATAGAAGGAGATTCATACCCAACATACACCCCCAACCTTCGTTGGGGATCCATCTTTGTGTGTAGCGGTGGGGCAATTAGAGCATATATCACGCACCTAAAAATTCTAAGATGGGAAATATTTGGTTCATGACCAAAAACCAACTGTAATGGAGAGAATTCATGATAGTTAGTTGGCCTTATGCACACAAATGTTGCTGCATGCAAAATAGTATGTCCCCATATTGAAACAATCAAATTTGTCCTCATTAACAATGGTCTAGCTATCAATTGGAGGCGCTTAATCAAAGATTCCGCTAGACCATTTTGAGTGTGAACATAAGCAATTGGATGTTCAATTGTTATCCCAGTGGACAAACAATAATCATTAAAGGCTTGCAATGTAAACTCACCAGCATTATCAAGATGAATTGTCTTTATTGCACAATCTGGAAATTATGCTCTTAATCTTATTATTTGAACCAACAACCTCACAAAAGCCATATTGCGAGTTGATAATAAGCACACATGTGACCATTTTGTAGATACATCTATCAAGACCATATAATATTTAAATGACCCACATGGATGGTGAAGTGCCCCATATATATCACCTTGTATATGTTCCAGAAATGCAAGAGATTCAATCTCAACCTTAGCTACTGATGGTTTAATAACCAACTTTTCTTGAGAACAAGCAACACAAGAGAATTTCTTCGATTGAAGAATTTTTGATTCTTCAAAGTATGCCCATGTGAATTTTCAATATTTCGCATATCATATTATAACCGAGATGGCCCAACCGATCATGCCAAATGATAAAATCATTATGATTAGTAAACCCTTTATTTACCATGACATGTGATTCAACCATACTAATACTTGTATGGTACAATCCAGAAGAAAATGCGAGTAATTTTCATGCACATACTTTTGCGCCAATTTTACATTAGTAATATAAAGGTATTCAACCTTTCTTTCATTGGCAGTGTCAACATGATAGCCATTTTTGGCGAATAACCTTGAAACTTAATAAGTTTCTTTGAGACTTTCTACAATACAATGCATTTTTAATAGTTAATATCGTTCCTTCAGGTAGTAATAAGGCCGCTCTTCCAGAGCCCTCAATTAATTTTGCACTACCAGATATTGTATTAGCATAAACCTTTTTCATAATCAAATTAGAGAAATATTTCTTTTCTCTTAAAATAGTGTGAGTTGTGGCACTATCAAGAAACACACATATCTTCATTACTCATCTTGAACCAATTGACGATTGAAGAATTTTATTTATTTTCATAAAATAAAAGTACATCATATGAAATATGAAAATCAACAACTTTGCAGGAAAATACAAGTACTTTTTTCTGAATATAAAAACAATATAAGGAAAAACATAACAATGAAAAGCACATAAATAAAACAACATAATTATTTTCCCCAATCAAATGATCAAATATTAGTTTTGATCTCCAAAGAAGTCTTCAACTTCCAAATGAGTAATATCATCAAGGTCATCAAAATCATCATCTTTTAAAGCCAAATTTTCTTCAATATTGTCATCATATTTTTGTGAAGGCCCTGCCTCGACATTCATTTTTTATAAGTCAAGTGTGACTCCACCCGAGCATTAGAAGAAGATGCACCATTTTTATTTCCTTTTCTTTTCAAAGAATCTTGATAAAGTCTAACAAATTGTTCAGCTGCTCTGCATTCATTCTTCCAATGCTCTTTCATGCCACAACGACGACAATTGCCTCTTAAAGGATTGCTTTGAGAACCCATATTGTTCTCCCTTTTGTGGTGACCACCACGACAACGATTATTATATCGTCCTCTGCCATTGCCACATCCACACATTATTTTGGCCCTGATTTTTATTTCATCTTCTTTAGACTGGCCATGTGCTTCAACCTCATTTGCTTTCGATAACAGAGCAGTTCCCGTGGGACAGGCCTCATGGGTTTTCAATAAAGGAGTATTATGTTGCTCAGCCACAAGAAGGCATGAGATCAACTCAGAATATTTTTTGAATCCCCTTTCACGGTATCGATGGTGTAATACCAAATTTGAGGTGTGAAAAGTTGGGAGAGTCTTTTCCAACATGTCCTCATCTTTTACATCTTCCTCACATAATTTCATTTGGGAAGTAATTTTGTATACAACAGAATTATATTCACATATAGTTTTAAAATCTTGTAACCGTAAGTGAATCCATTCATAACGAGCCCTTGGCAATACCGTTGCCTTAAGGTGGTCAGACCTTTCCTTCAAACCAGTCCACAATTCAAGTGGATCTTTCACCGTAAGGTATTCAACCTTCAATCCTTCATCCAAATGATGACGAAGGAAAATCATTGCCTTTACTTTGTCTTGACTCAACGTTGTATTACCATTAGTAATAGTGGCACCAAGACCTTTAGCGTCAAGGTGAACTTTAGCATCGAGTACCCATGATAAGTAATTATTTTCAGAAATGTCAAGTGCCACGAACTCAAGCTTTGATAAATTCGACATGATAAAACTATCATAGAAAATAATTAAATTAGACTAAAATAAATAGTGAGTAAATAATTTATTAATTAACTTTTTTTATCAATGATAATAACGTGACACATGTTATTGTACAAAGTAACATCAACTAGTAAATTAATGTGTTAGTATCAAACTTCCGAGCAATTTAAATGGACATTCTGCCTAACATATAACTTAAATAATTTCTAGCAAAATTGCTAGACAAAATCTTTTTATTAAAATAAAAATTTAACTAACTTAAAATAGCATAATTCACTTTATGATTAGGTGAAATAAACTTTTGGACTTATATATAGTCCATTGTATAACTACCAAAATATACATACATTGTTTAACACCTTAACATTTCATAATATGTAGTGTATTATATTAGAGTGATTAATAATGAGAATTAAGTGTATGAATACATACTAGAAGCTTAACTTGGAAAAATCGAAATGATGTTAGAGTTTCGTGCTAATAACGTGTTGTAGAACTTAAGAACAAAAGAACAATATAAAGAGGAATCAAGAATTAAAGATGAACTTTAAACTTGTTAATAGGGTTGGGTCAGACCGACCCAGTCAAAAAATTATCGAGCTATCAAATGGGACTATGCCGAGTCACCCACTAATGGGTCGGTCCAGACTCAATAGTATAAATACCTGTCAAGTCTCGAGCCTACAACCTGGACGTGGCCGGTACTTGAGAACCATTGCAAGTCCCCAAGCAAACCCTTGGTCTGGCTCAATACTCAGCGAAAGACTAACTCAACAACATTGAAAATTCAAATGCAAAGATGAACTCATAAGATATCATTACTATGATAGTTTAACTCAATATAGTCTGAAATACACAATAAACATAATTTTTCAACTCAAAGTCTTTAAAACATCAACAAGGGACAATGAAAAACTCCTCATACTACTATTGTCTATGAAGCCTCTAATACTATGATATTTATTAGGACAATACCCACGACATCTTAACAAAACAAAACCGCAATGTGAAGCCTTTCGGAAAGCAATGAGGCTCATCAAAGCTAGTTGAAATGCGATGGGATCAACGAAGCGCCGATTGATGATCCTGAATACCTGTATTTGCATCATGAAATGATGCATGCCAAATGACGTCAATACATTGAATGTACGAGCATGTAAAGGGAATACTGAACATAGGGATATATTGTTGAAATGATAGAAAGGGAAAACATACTTACCTCAACTCAACTCTATATGAAAGCAACAATAAAAGATGCAATATATATAAAGCTTTTAAAACAATAGCTAATAACTCAAATGTATATAAAAATACAATAATAACTTTTTACTCTTATTTGGGAGATTCTCTAACCGACAACCATCACTATGAGCTACATGATGAAACAACGTCTCGCCAACGTTGCCAGAACTGTCCTATACCTTGCCAGGGTATAGAACATCCTCAACTAAGTGGATCCATTAAGCTATGCTTAAAAACAATAAGGAATCATCTAAAAAGTATGATCATTTATCCATGTTGGCATACATGGTTTCTGAGGAATTTGAGTTGTCTGAACTCATACCCATATCGGTACTCAATACTACTCCGAATAATATATAACTCATGCTCAAATGTTTAAAAACAGAACTCTTCCTCAATTTGAGATAATTACTCAAAAGATCCTCTTAAAAAAGGTAATACTCTGAAACTCCTTTAGAAATTGGTGTTTCTTTCTTTTAAAATGTAAAAGTGTTACATACTTGGGAATACTTAGTTCCCTTATATTCATTTTGAGACATGAAATTCAACTCTCCTCATTCTCATATTCATTTACTCAAGTCTTAAAACAAGTTATAGATAATTGCAAAATACTTCTCAAAATGACGTTCTTGAACTTTCTTCTAAAATTTACATTTATTTGAAAATGTAAATAAAAAGATGTTATTAGGATATGCATGATATCTCAAGGATTAATGAAGACTTTAAAAGTGAATATCAAGAAGAGAACTCCAGTACGATGCGAGGAAAAACACACGGAAAGAAGGACGGAAGGGTAAAGGTTTTGACGACCCTGGCGCACTGAGTGACCTGGGGCGTCAACCCCAAAACTACTGAACATTGTTTGGGGCACACAGAGTGGCACACCGCGTCAGGCCCCAAACTACTGGGCAGTAGTTGTAACACCTCAGAATCTAGTAGGCTAAGCAAGGGACCAAGTGAGAAGTCACAAGCCAGGACATAGCATGGGCACCCTTCACGAAGGCCAAGACGAGCCGTGAAGGGCACCAAGAGGCGTGGTGTAGCCTTTAAAGGCTCACAATGTTGATCCAAATAGGGCTCCCTTCCAAAGAGAACCTAGACGGCTTGTGGTGAGCACCATGGCACGTAGTGATGCCCGTGAAGGGAGAGGTAGTAGTCCCTCTCAGGCTGTAAAGCTTGAAATAACTCTCGAAGCTTTTTTTTTTCTCCTATTGAAACCCTTCTCTCAACCCTAAGCGTTTATGAATGAATGAAAACTAATCTCTATCAGTTTAGACCCCTATTTGGGTGAAAAAACGTTTAGGCCTAATGGGGTAAGGAAAAGACCAAAATACCGTTCCTTAAAATGGAAGAAATGCCCTAACTAGAGAGGCTGCACTCAAATGGTCATAACTCCTTCATCCAAGCTCGAAATATAGCAAACTTGGTGGCGTTGGAAAGAGAACTCAAAGACCTTCGATTTTATACCTTATGGGCCACCTAACTTCTTATTTGTTGAAAGTTATGTCATTTGAAGTTGACCCAAAACTAAAAACTGAAGTTTTTCTTGTACAAATCTCTTAATGACTTTTTGAAGTACGAGATGTTAAATTATCTCCCCCTTGGGAACATTCATCCTTGAATGAGATCATAGTAAGCCAAAAAGGGCAAAGGGGAAGCATCTAACAACCCCAAATCAAGTACACAACATGCAATTCACATAACTCAACATATTAACTTAAAGAGTACTTTTACAAAGAATTAGTACCTTGGTTTGGAATTTCTCCGGAAACAAAGAGATGTGGGTATCTCTTCTTCATATCCTCCTCAGCCTCCTAAGTAGCTTCCTCAACAAATTAATTCCTCCATAAGACCTTGACTGATGCAACCTTCTTGGTTCTCAACTTGCAAACCTGACGGCCAAGAATCTGAACGGGTATCTCCTCATAAGATAGACGGTCTTTAATACCAATATTCTCAGTAGGTATAATAAGTGAACGATCGTCCATACACTTCTCCAACATAGAAATGTGGAATACCGGATGGACTGCTGCTAACTCTTCTCTTAGATATCTTGTAAGGACTAATATACCGGGACTGAGTTCCCCATTCTTGCCAAATCTCATAACACCCTTCATGGTTGAAACCTTCAAGTAAACCCAATCATCTACCTCAAACTCCAAGTCTCTTCTCCTAACATCTATATAGGATTTCTAACGACTTTGCACTGTCTTTATCCTTTCATGAATAATCTTCACCTTCTCCCTGGCTTGATAAACCACATCTGGTCCTATCAACTCAGCTTCACCAACCTTAAACAACCAATAGGAGATCTACATATCCTCCCATAAAGAGCCTCAAAAGTAGCCATCTGGATGCTAGAGTGATAGTTATTATTGTAAGCAAACTCTATGAGGGGTAAGTGATCATCCCAATTACCCTTGAAGTCTATGACACATGCCCTCAACATGTCTTCTAAGGTCTGAATTCTACGCTCTGCTTGACCATCAGTTTGAGGATGGAAAGAGGTAGTAAGGTTCACCTTTGAACCCAAACCTTTCTGGAAAGACTTCTAAAACTGAGCGGTGAATTGTGCCCTTCTATCTGAAATGATGGACACATGAACTCCATGGAGTCTGACTATCTCTTGAACATATAACCTGGCATAATCTTCTGTCGAAAAGGTAGTCTTTAGCGGCAAGAAATGAGCTGCTTTAGACATCCAATCTACAATCATAAAAATTGAATCATGTTGCCTGCGAAATCACGACAAACTAGTAATGAAATCCATATTGATCATCTCCCACTTACATTCCGGAATATCTATATTCTAAGCCATACCACCGGTCCTTTGGTGATCTACCTTGACCTGTTGGAAATTCGGGCACTTAGCAACGAACTTTGCAATACACCTTTTCATACTACTCCACCAATAGACTTCTCTCAAGTCACAATACATCTTTGTGGAATCGGGATGGATCGAATATCTGGAGCTATGAGCTTCTTCCATGATCCTCTCTTGGAGTTCGTCCACCCTTGGTACATACAATCTACCTTGATACCTCAATAGACTATCTCCCCCTTATTCAAAAGCCATCACTATATGCTTATGAATATTTGTCTTTAGCTCAAGCAAAACGTTGTTTTGGTCTTGTTTCTCCTTAATTTCCAACACTAGTGATGATTCAGCCCCATTCATCACCACCACTCCACCATCATTGGAATCCAACAATTGGACTCCCAATCGTGCAAGTTTGTGCACATCTTTGGCTAATTCTTTCTTGCCTTCCTCAATATGGGCAGTATGTCTCATAAGCATCAACAACAACATTAGCCTTACCAGAGTGATAGAGGATACTCATTTTGTAATCCTTGAGTAACTCTAACTACCTCCTTAGATTAAGCTCTTTTTAACTGAAAACATACTGAAGTCTATTGTGATCGGTGAACACATCTTCATGAATACCATAGCGATAGTGACGCCATATTTTCAAAGCAAATACTACAACAACCAACTCTAGATCATGAGTTGGGTAATTCTTGTCGTGAACCTTGAGTTGTTTGGAGGCATAGGCTTTGACCTTACCATTCTGAATCAATACACAACCAAGTGCAACTCTAGACGGATCACAATACACAACAAAGCCTTGTGTACCCTCTAGTAGGGTCATCACTGGGGCAATAGTTAATTGGGTTTTCAATTCCTGAAAGCTTTTCTCACAAGCTTCAAATCATTGAAACTTTACTATCTTCTGAGTCAACTTTGTCAACGGGGATGAAAT